TGGCACTGCTCCCTGTTGCAGGGGCAGGTGCAGGCCACATCAAAAGGCTTGGTGGGCTGCATCCAGTCCGTGGACTGTATTTTGCCCACCCCTGCTCTATCCTTATGCCACTGGAAGCTGCGGGGGTGATGTCAGCAAAATGTCTCCCGGCCCACAATCAGATGACCCTGATGCACCATATGCATTCCACGGGCTGCAGGGTGCCCACTACTGATCAATGGCATATCAATTTTGGTATCAGACACAATCAGTCACTACCATTACTCTACTGCTAATTTGCATACAACAATTACATTGTTGAGAGAGATGTCAGAGGTGGTGATAACGTGGCCTAACTTCCATACTTATATGGCAGCAGTGGCTAGTCATGGACCAGTGCCCCATTCTGCTAGGTTGTATACAAATACAAAACAAAAAACTGATCTGTGCTGCAGGAAATGTACTTTCTGATTACAAGACAAGAGTCAAGAGAGGGAAACATTGAGACTGGCTGGGGAATACAAGGAAATAATGAGATAGTCAATAGTCTCAGCACTCAAGGGACATAATCACCATGTATTTTCTAGTCCTCATGAGAGAGTTTTAAGGAGAGATTTGAAGATGGATAATGAGGTAGCTTCATGTAGAGCTCCATCTAAGCATGTAGAGCAGCATGGGAGAAGTCAGGAAGATACTTGTTTAAGAAATGGAATATGGAGGGGCTGCTTGCAGGCAGGTGTTGAACTTCTGCTAGAGAATGCGAGATGAGAGATAAGGTGGGGACAGGCTGTGAAGAGCCTTGAAAGTGAAGACAAGTGGTTTGATGAAATAGAGAAGCGTGAGCCAGTGGAGGGATAGAAGGAGATGATTGATATGGTCAAAGTGATGGGCTAGGAAAATGAGCTTTTACAGCAGCATCTGAATGGATATCATCAGGACAAGACTGCATTTGTCAAGGTCAGAGAAAAGGATCTTGTGGTACTCATGACACAAGATGACGGTGAGAGACTGGATTAGTGCTTTAGCTGTGAGGATGTATATGATAAGCCATACCTTAGAGATGTTCTGCAAAAAGAATTGGCAAGATTTAGCCACATTCTGGATGTAAGGACTTAGAGAGAGGCCCACGTGAAAGATGACACCAAAACTGCAGGCCTGCAGGGTGGTGCTGTTGTCAAGAGTAATCAAGAAATAAGTAGAAGAGATGGGGAAGATTAAGGACTCAGTTTGAACCATGTTGAACTGAAGCTGACAATAGACATCCATGAGGACAGTTTAGAGAGAGAGCAAGAGGCCAAGATTTTACTCTGGATAGGAGGAGACAGGTCTGAAGAAGAAATTAGACCCGTTAGTCCTCAGACTAGTGTCCATAACTAAATGGGCTCGTCTACACTGGCCCCTTTTCCGGAAGGGGCATGTAAATTTCACCAGTCGTCGTAGGGAAATCCGCGGGGGATTTAAATATCCCCCGCGGCATTTAAATAAAAATGTCCGCCGCTTTTTTCCGGCTTTTAAAAAAGCCGGAAAAGAGTGTCTACACTGGCCCCGATCCTCCGGAAAAAGCGCCCTTTTCCGGAGGCTCTTATTCCTACTTTAAAGTAGGAATAAGACCCTACTTTGAAGTAGGAAGTAGGAATAAGACCCTCCGGAAAAGGGCACTTTTTCCGGAGGATCGGGGCCAGTGTAGACGCTCTTTTCCGGCTTTTTTAAAAGCCGGAAAAAAGCGGCGGACATTTTTATTTAAATGCCGCGGGGGATATTTAAATCCCCCGCGGATTTCCCTACGACGACTGGTGAAATTTACATGCCCCTTCCGGAAAAGGGGCCAGTGTAGACGTAGCCAATGTGTTTAGGGATGAGAGCACATAGGAGAAGACAATCAAAGAAACTTCTGTGAAATCCCTACAGAAACCTGGAAGCTTACATGATGAAAGAGCTATTTTTAAAAGCTTGAAAAAAAGTATGTGCTTGTGTGAAATACTAAGAATACTAAGCAGAAACCTATTTTTATTTTAATTGGGTTCATTTTCTTCATCTCCTGTTTGAGAGATCATTTCAAGGTACTCATTTATTTTTATTACTGTAGCAGGAATTAACTTATGCTTATGTTTACTGTTTTTTATTTATAAACTGGTAGGTGTAGCTCCCTGCCTGCTACCTCCGCAAGTCACTCAACCTAACTGGATCTTGCATATCCATCAGTAGTTATCATTGTACCCATAATTCAACAACAAAAATGAACTATGATGGAAATACAGGGCCTGATCTTTCCTGCTTATGCCAAACTTGAGTAAATTGGCATTGAGCGGGATTCTCCATGGGGATAAAGGAAACATGATAATTCTCTACACCACAAAGGGCAAGACAAGTTGCTCCATGGCTGCAGCTATACCCTCCTATCCACTGTACCCCCTTTCCTGTGATCCCAGTTCAGTGCAAAGCTGAAAGATACCACTACGTCGTTTTCTAGCTAGCAAAACAATTATGTGCTTAGCATTAAAGTCACTTGGACTTAAGTTAAAGTTAAGCACATGAGTGCATGCTGAGGTGCTTTGCTGAATAGGCTGATTTTGTGAACTGAGAATGGAGAGTGTTGTCTTTGGACCCTGCTGTACCCCCAGAACTCTCCTCTCTGTTACTGTGGATGGAGACCCTTAAGAGCACAATTTGACATCATACAGGGCTTTCCGTGGCTTGTCATCTTTACTCCCAGAAATGGCACTGGCTCTGCTACCTTTTAAGACCTAATCATCTTTAGCAAGTGTATGCAGGAGTTTGACTGTAGTATAGTGGAGCAGCAGCTCTGCTATACTTAGGGTTGGGAGTCACTTGTTGTTTACAAGACAACTGACTATTCTAAGTGCTCTAACATCCACATACTAACTCAGTTTGCTTCGACATTTGCCTTGCCTGAGGGTGGTGCAGGATAGTAAAAATGTGTTGTAGCTGTACAAAAGGCTAACTTCATTCTGGGGTGTATTAATAGTAGTGTTGTATGACAGAGCAGAGAAGAAACTTCCTATTTTGCTTGGTACTGGTGAGGCCTCAACTGAAGGACTGTGTCCAGTTCTTGGCCCCATATTTCAAGAAATATTTGGACAAACTGGCAAGAGTCCAGAGGAGAGTAACAAAAATGAGAAAAGGGTTAGAATAGGTAACCTATAAGGAAAGATGAAAAATATCTGGGCATGTTAGGTCTAGAGAAAAGAAAACTGAAATGGGATCTAATGATGGTCTTCAAATATGCTACAAGTTATTATAAAGAGGGTGGTCAATTATTCTCATTCTTCACTAAAGGTACGACAAGAAGTAATGAGCATAATCTGCAGGAAGAGACATTTAGGTAGCAAAAACTTTCAAACTATGAGCATAGTTAACAAACTTCCAAAAGAGGTGGGGCAATCCCCATCTTTGGAGTTTTTTTAAGAACAGACTGGACAGACTTACCTGCCATAAGTGGATTGGGTTTGATGATTTCTCATAATCCTTTCTAGCCTTAAATATCTATGAATTTATGGTAAATCCTGGGGCCATTTTATCCAGGCATGACTGAAAAAATCCAGTGAAGAACTATACAGACAGCATTGAACAATCCAGTTTTTTTTCTCATGAAATGAGTTAAACCATGAAAGAGAGGAGATGAAAATAAAGTGAAAGTCATGTATAAAATAGCAAGTAACATTTTACATGATAATAGGGATGTCCGAGTTAAAAGCTTTGAGTAGTTCAGACTCAGAACAGTAAAAGTTCTATAAAATAGACTTTTAAAATCCACCTGTTTAACATCATTCAGTATAATTTTGTAAGATGATCCAGACATTCATTTGCTCATCAAATAATTGAAAAAATTGTACAAAAAGTTGGGCCATGAGATTTCTATTATTTTCTCTCATGGAACTACTTGTTTGAAAATTACTCTTGAAGATTCTGGATACTGACTTTGCTGGATCTTTTTATAGCTACACATCACCAGTAGCTTTGGGAGATTTATTATTTATGTATTCAAATTTACAATAATTATACAGAAAACAGTGGGTGTCCCAGTCTCTGTGCACTCTTGACATCCTTAAATATATATTCATGCATAAACAAATTTCTGTATATACTGTGAGATAACACTACCCAGGAAATATGTGAATATAAAAAGAATCCTGTACAAACAAACCTTCCAGCTACAATCCAGCTTCACCAATCTTCTTGCAAGTAAGGAAGAAAAGATGGGCTTTGTACTGTGTCCCAAACACATGATTAACATTTTATAACATCTTACGTATTTTCAGAGAGATGGAAAACCCCTCCAAATAATCCTGGTTTCTAATTTTTAGACCTCTAGATCAGTGCTTAGCTATCAATGTGAGTTGAATCTTAAATAGGTAAGGAGGTTATGATCTGTCTAGTTTATTTAATTTTAAAATAAAATGCAAGGGACATGAAAATCCCTTAGTCTTTGCTTTGCCATAGTCCGTAAGTAAGCTCTTCATGTTGTCATAAGGTCAACTAATATATGGAAAGGAAGACTTGAACATTTATGAGGAGGAGTTTATGAATCCAAAATGTAATGCAAAGGATCATAATGGCAACATTTAAAGATTTAGTTGACTATTCAAATGGATGCAAAGGCCCTTGCTTGGAGACTGAAGTTATTTTACAAGTTTATAAGGGACACTAGATTGAAGTCAAAATGAAATGTACAGTGTGTCCTATTAAAAAGTGAACTATGCAGAGTGTGAGTAGAGAGATAGCTGGGTGTACATTGTCATTTATTTCTGAGGTGTATTTCACAGACCTGGGGTTAATTTTTTCTGACAATCTCTATAGACAAGCTTGCCTGTTAGGTGGGAAAACCATTTAAGAAATGAAACAGTCTTTAAACTTCTACTTACAAAGCTTCCACTGTTTGGTTTTGATGAGGATGAGGTTTGTTCATCTCTACAGAACTAGCAGAGGATTCAGCCCCCACAATGAAGTGGTCCCCCAGAAATGTGCTGAGGTTCCGTGCCTTTTCACTGACTCACTACCCTACGATGATCAGAACAACTGATGCCAACCCCAAAGTTATTTTGAAATAACTTATTTTGAAATAACTCCCGAAATAGCTATTTTGAAATAGCATGCCCACACTACAGGGAAACCTCAAAATTAATCCGAGGCAGGCTCCCTTAATGTGCTTCTCCTACCTCGACTTAGAGCCCCAGGAAGCACTGGGGAGTAATTACTTTGAATGAATCTGGGGAGTAGTTATTTCAAAATAGCATCAGTGAAGTGTCCACACTACTGCGATTTTGAAATAACTATTTTGAAATAAGTGTTATGCCTCATAGAAAGAAAGAGTTATTATTTCAAAATAATCAGCCTGTTATTTCAGAATAACGGGCTTGGTAGTGTGGATGCTCTATTGTGATTTCAAAGTAAGGGGAGTTATTAGCCTAGAATAGACCAGGGCTAAGGGATTATCAGAGTGCAAAGAGGGCAATGAATGAGATAATACTGATAGTAAAAACATGAGCTTACTTTGAATAGCCCATACGGTTGAGAGGGAATACTGTCATCCCTGGATAGGGCTTCTATAGGGCTGGTCTACACAATTGTCTGAGCTAGATTCAACTGATATGCAACCCCCAAAGTTGGAAAGATAAAAATGAGTGCTTTATGGGAATTATAGGGGAGAACATAATGACACCTATATTTAAGGTTTCCTAATACTGTATGTAGATTATGACTGTTTTCAGTAGCATAGAACACAGAATGGATTTTCCATACTTAGTCTCTGCTTGTTTGAACTTTTTTGCTGTAGACACATCAAAGTCTTTTTTTTTCTGAACTGCTCTCTTCCCAGCATTGCTATACTGTATTCCCAGTCTCTCTGAATTTATATTTTCCTTTGCTCTATTTTACACTATACCATCATTAATTTTTTCCCTCAGCTCTTTCTTTCCCAGTGTCCTTTAAGCAGAAACTAATTCTAATGGCTTGCAAGTTCACATCATACTTCCAATCACAGCATATTAATGGATTTGTGACAAGGCAGAACTACCATTACTATGTACATCCCTAATTCCTTGGTTTATCTATTACCTTTCCTCAATTAATTTCTCATTTCCTTATTCTCATCTTCCAGTTACCTTATTTTCCAGCTCGTGTAATGCTTTGTTTCCTTTGATTTCATGCAGAAACCTTCTTCTCCTCAGGCATGGAGCGATTGTCACAAGGTGCCACTTTTAACTTTCCTGGCAAATGGCCCTTAATATTTGGAGACTCAATTCTATTTGGCCAGTGAGGATGATCTTCCTCCTAGCTTCTGGTTTGGCTCCTAAAGGGCTTTGAACAACTTTTTACACTGGGGAAGCATATCTGGACAGTACACGTTTTGAGGCATCCCTGAAGCTGCTGCCTAAGTATCTTACTTAAGGAGTGAGAAGAGTTGAAATATATTGTAATGTTTATTATTTGAATTTGCAAACCAGGACCCCATATTCTAGGGCTGTGTCTACACTGGGCCACTTAGTCCGGAAAATCAGCCGCTTTTCCGGAATAAGCTGCGAGCTGTCTACACTGGCCCTTGAATTTCCGGAAAAGCAACAATGCTCTACTGTACAAAATCAGCCGCTATTCCAGAAAAACTATTCTGCTCCCGCTCGGGCATAAGTCCTTATTTCGGAACACTGTTCCAAAAAAAAACCAGTGTAGACAGCCCAGTAGTCTTTTCTGGAAAAAAGCCCCGATCGCGAAAATGGCGATCGGGGCTCTTTCCCGGAAAAGCACGTCTACATTGGCCACAGATGCTTTTCCGGAAAAAGGGCTTTTCCGGAAAAGCAGCCTGCCAATGTAGACGCTCCTTTTCTGGAAAAACTGAAAACGGAATAGTATTCCGTTTTAAGCATTTCCGGAAATTCATGCCAGTGTAGACACAGACTAGGTGTTTTACAAACAGAAAATGAAGATGGTGTTCTGAAAAAATTAAGCACACATTTCCAAGTTCTCTTCTTTTATTCCCAGACTTTTACCAGCTCTCCTTCACTGTTCCCCTTATGTGCTTGCTGAAAAATTTCAGAGTGCTTCAGAAATAGGAATGAAAATTGAAATTGTCAAGGTTAATGCAGGGATTTGGTCACATTGATTTTAATAGTTGCTATCTGGCTAAATCCCCAAAAGTAGACTGATAGATTACAGTATGTTAAAGCTTAAGGATGCAAGACAGACCAAAAAATGATTGCACTTTTTTCACCCAAATATTACCAATTTGTGGTCCCACATATCAGTTTTATTATTTTCCATTTTACTTTTTCACTGCACATTTCTTAAATGTCAATATTTTTATTCATTGTACAGTCAGATGTGATGTAACAGAGGATATTTCCATTTTGGAGAGCATCATTAATCCTTGTTAACAATTCTTCCTACAAACCAGACATGAATTGCTAGTATTGTCTGACTTCTAACGTATTATTGCTTAATTTAAAGACTAAAGTGCTATAGTTTGACCTTATGGCTATTAAATTCTGAGTCAAGTGTCACAAATATCACTAATTAGATAAAATGCTCCACTGGAAGTCTTTGATGATGGTCACACAATTTAATATGCTCTTGCAAATGAATTCTTAGACCATGGAGCAATTAACTTGTCACTGTATAAGTAAACTTACGTTTACTGCTTAAAGAATTATACTGAATTCTGAAATTAAGTTCTGTTCCTGAAGGTCAGGAGTTCTGCATTTTGAGGTATTATCTAGATAGTCAAAACTTCATCTTTGAGGTATAAAGTTGTAAAGTCACAGATAAATTCAACCTCTCATGAAGGGTAACCTATGAAAGAAAGATCTTAGAGGACTAAGAAGAATAAAAGAATACTTTGATTTAACTTCCTCTTTTCTCTCTTAGGGCATGTCTACACTACAGCATTATTTCAAAATAGCTTATTTCAAAATAACATGTCTACACACAAAATGCATTTCGAAATAGTGTTTTTCTATTTCGAAATAGCGAGTACACACTAAGTAGATGCTGAATCGCATTTAAGGCTGGCTGGAACCAGGCCTTGCAGGGCATCAGGTCAGGAGTTACTTTGTGTGGCTGCTGCCTGAGGCTATTTGAGACTTGTGCTTAAAGGGACCTCCTGGGACAGCCAGTTCTCAGGTTTCCCTGCTTGCTCCTCATTCCAGACACCACAGCACTCTGCACCATGGAGCCAGAGCTGCCCCTGGACACTCTGGTGCTTCTCATGGATGTGTTGCTGTGAGCCTGGCTGCACTTTCTGCAGGCTGCCATCTGGGAGGTCCATTGAGGGGCTGTCAGTATCCAGGAGGCGCGGGAGAGCTTCCACCATGAGGAGCACTAAGAGCCTCCCTGGTCTGCCCCACTGGGGGCTTGTGCCTCATTCCTCCCTCATGTCCTTCCACTTATCCTCCCTAACCCCCTTCCTGATGTAAAATAAAATACACGTATTTTCATGAACACAAACTGTCTTTATTTAACAAAACTGGGGGTGGGGAATGAAACTCTGATGAGACTGGGGAAAGGAGGCAGGACAGAGGAGGGGAGAGGGGGGGGGGAGTG